ATGTACGAACTTTGCTATAGACTTGTTAGCATAGCACTATACATCGCCGCACTCAGACGTAATCCCGGTTCACTATGGTGCGCACTATTTAACTCAATTTGGAACAAAATTAAGGGCAACGTAGAGAGTTGTGTCTATTCTCTACTATAGGGACAGTGGGAAACTGTTTTTTGGAACTTCATTTGGGCGTCTATGGCAAATGCGCTTTGCTGCGAAGTTTTTACTGGGGGGAGGGGGGGAGCGGCTGCCATGACATTGCACGATCTAGAAATGTGAGGCAGTGTGGTGGAATCAGGCTCTCGTCAAAACAATCAAAGTGATGAAACCTGCATTTTTCCGCAGGTTTGTCAATTTTTATCAAATTTTTGTTTTTTGGCTCAACACCTTTCACGCCCATTAAAGAATTCATTTCTGTGTGTATGTTTCATAAAAACGTTGATTAAAGGCACAAAAAATGTAAATTTTCAGTTACCACGGACTCTTAAGCTAAGGAAATACATAATCTTTGGCGGCCACTTTCTCACTAATTTTACCTCTGAAAACAGGTGACCCCCACCTCCTTCATTCGCGAATAATATCTCGACTTGTATTCAAGATAAATGGATACTTTTTTTCATCCAATAAAGACAACTGAACAAGCTTTAGGATGATACCAATAACCCTACATGCCCCAAAATTGACGAGAGCCTGATTCCATCGCGCTGCCTCACATTAATGATATGATTTAAGTCTATACTTTGCTTAAGAAGGTAAAAAGACGAATAGAGTGCGCGGAGTAATTTTTGCAATTTTTTATATTTCTCGTGTGAGATATCAGCTCGGCACGTTAAATATGATAAGGATTTATTTCACCAGAAGTGCAATGCTGAAACGACTCCAAGTTTGGAATAAAGATTAATATTTTAACACTAGAGGAAAAGTCCTCATTCAGAATGTTCTCACTAAAAGTATCCTTTTCGTATATCTTTATTTGGATTTAGGTTACTTGTGGTGTATACAATAGAGGGAGTTGGAAAGGGAGCCTTAAATCCAAGAGGGCCCCCGGCCTCCCACTGGCCGTGTAAAGTAGTTGAAATAAAAGGGCTTAAACAGAAGCGAAATTTTGCTTTACTTATTTACGTTTACAGGTGGGGGGGGGGTAGTCCTTTTATACCACGAAGTATCGAGAGAAAAAAGAATTGTAGGACGTGGGCCATGTGTGTTACTGTTTGGATCGACATGTTGTTCCTTTGGCTGGTCTCTTAGACTCCATCGAGCCATCTCTTTCTTGACCTTCTTTTTGCCTTGACGCCATCGAATCGCATGTTGTAGGCTCGATCGATGCCCATTTGATGTCTGATGTCTTCGTTTCGGCTTCTAGTAAACTCGTCACACTGTGAAGTCGTCACATACTCTCAGTGATCTCGTCACTATTATCTCGTCACATACAGGAACTTGTGAAAAACGTGTGGTGAGTTCCCCGTGGATTGGCAGGCAAATCCACACGACTTGTCAACCAATTAATAATATCTTTAAAATACAAAACCAGAGTTTATTCAATCAAATCTACACACGTCAACCTTTTTGTTTCAGTATTTTAAAGAGAAAAAGGACACATGTTTTGGGTGTAATAATATAATATAAAACCGGTTCAAAATCTGCATGCACTTACTGTATACAATAAAACAAAAATCTAAAATGGTACAAGATGGCTGGTGGAGGTAGTGTGACGAGTTTACTGTTATTTTGGATACTTTTTTCTGTGAACTCGCCACACATTTTTCAGCTGTGTCGACTTCACGGTGTGACCAGTGATGAGTTCACTTGTTCCCTTTGTTTCTGTGTCTCTTCTTGTGATGTTTAATGGGGGGGGTTTCTACTAATACGTTTCATTTGGCATGTTGTTATTCTATCTTGCTGTGCTTTATTCTAGGTTCAGGTTAGGCGGTGGTAGCAGAGAGTTGGTATGAAGATTTGATCTAAAGAGTTTCTTTGTACCCATTCGGATGCTTTGATGGGGAAGGATGGGCGTTGTTGTTACATATTATGTATGTGACTGCACTTAGCTTTTGTACTCGTGTTTCAGTTTCTCAGTCCATTTTCCAGCTGATGTGAACATGCTTCCAAGGTATTTGAGTTCTTATTCTTGTTTTAGATGTGTGTTTTGTTGACTTGAATATCATTTAATAGGTTTTGGTATCTGGAGATTTTCCTTACCTCTGCTTCTCTTGTGTTCATTTCAATTCCATATTTCTCACATGCCTTGTTCAGTTTAGTGATATGTTCTTTTGGGCTGTCTTGGTCAGCGAAAAACTGTTCGTTGGGTTTTTCTAGATTATCGTTTGCTCCTTGAGCGATCTTGTACATATAGACTATGAAAAGTACTGGTGAAAGGGCACGGCTCTGTCTGACATGTGATGTCATGTTGGACTACTCATTGTTTCCCTTCCTGGTTCGTGCACGACTAGACAGACTTTTGTACAGTGTTTCGATGCTACTAAGGAGTAGGTCTTTCACTCCATGTTGGCTCGGTCATATTCCTTTATTATCCACCCAAGTCTCTCTCTTACATATCTGGCTCAGTGCGAAAATAGCGTCTGTGCATCACTCTCCCATTCTCAAAGATCGTATTGCTCAGGTTTTCCTCTGTTATGTGTTTTAGTCTACACTAAAGGATTTTGGCATTTTTCCAACACGGCTGAGCAGGGATATTCCTGCCAAATTCTTTTTTTTTTTTTGGTCGCCTCTTTTTTTTCCAAATAGGCACTGCGATACTGTTTTGCCAGTCCTCGGGGCATTGTGTTTGTTTTCATGCTGCGTTAAGGACTTGTTTGACTGTTTCATGTTTGATGTCGTCTGCTAGAGGTAATCTGCTGTGGGTAGAGGTAGTTTGCTGTGGGTAGAGGTAAATTTGCTGTGGGTAGAGGTAATTTGCTGTGGGTTCTTTTTCAGTGTGTCTTCCACTGCGCTGGTGAAAATAGGTGGCTCCCTCTTGTTCATCAGTTCAGGTGTCTGTGCAGCATTTTCTGTTTCTCCTACAGGGTTCAGCAGTTCTTGGGAGTGTTCTTGTTGTCTCTTCTTGATTTTGGCTTCGTTTGTAATAACGTTTCCATTCATGTCATTTATCGTGTGCATTGGGTTTATATGACTCATCCCTTAGTCTTATGAACAGGACACAGTTTTAGAATTCCCGTGGGTTGTTCGTACACAGATTAGTCAGTTGTTCTTTATGGTTCGTCCAAAAACTTTTCAATGCTGATTGGATGACTTTGTTTTTCTTTTTTCGTGCATTTCTGTAATCAGTGCAGCCTTTTCCTCCTGTTTCTTTACCCATTTCAGCTTTGTGGCTTCTTCAGTCATTTTATTCCACCAAATTTCTTTATTTTTACTAATATCCAACTTGGTCGATACAGTTGTCTTCCAAATGTTCCATGGCCTTCTGTCTTTGTTTCATTTCTGTGTTCCTGTCCTCTCCGGCCGATGAGTACAGATAACATTGAGCATTTAGTGAACTGCTCGCACTTCTCTGTATATCAATCTTATTCAAATACGTCCGCTGTCGAAAAGTAATTTGGTCTTCAAACATGGCGCGTTTTCTAATTTCCTTATTGAATTTAGAACAATATCTTAGAGTGTTCCTGCTCTCCCCTCCAGCCCCATCCCTCTTTCTCTCTTCTCTTCTTACCCCTCTTTCTTTCTTTCTTAATCACTCCTCTTCTTCTTGTCCCTTCCCACCCTTCTGTCTTTCTTCTCTTCCCTCCACTTTTTCTTTCTTTTTCTTCCACACCCCCCCCCCTTTCTTTCTGCAGCCTTTCTAATGCTGCTCTTTGGGTCCTTCTTACCGCTGTCTTTCAGTCACACCCTTGATCTCATAATTATAGGAAGTAAGATCTAACACTTGGCATACTCGGATAAGGCCAAAAAAACAATCTGGTATCGTGTGCAAGTTGCGCACGTTCAACATTACTTGGTGATCCTAAAATTGACAAGAGGAGGCTTTGGCCGCTACCCGGACATAATTCCAAATTAATTCCTACCAAACTGACTATGCTAAATGTATTTTGCGTGCTCATAATATGACCTTATGCAGTTACGAGCGCCGTAAAACACTTACGA